TCCATGTTGCTTATTTATTTCTTACTATGCACATGCTAACAAAAAAGGGAAGGTGGAGACCACATGGTGACATGCCTGGCCCCATGCAGCCTTTTGTATTGGTACAGTTGCTGGCATCCCCCGTGCAAGCTTTCAGCTTCCTTATCTATGTTTGCAGGCAGATCTTCCAGGCTGCCTTTGTTAGAAAAGAAGTGATTTATTGGGCTGCTTTTTGTTAGAAAAGAAGTTCTGCCAAGGACACTCTTTTGCCCTCGGTATATGCTTAAATAATTTCTATCTTCTGTATCAATACAAAGGCAATTAAATGGAAACAGGACAGTCTTCAGTAAATGGTGGTAGGATAATTTCATAACCACAATGCAAAAATATAAATTTAGATGCTTAATAATATACAAAAAAAATTTTAAATGAATCATATACCTGAATGTTAGAGTTAAAACAATAAAACTATTAGAAAAAAAAAGAGCAATTATTTGTGATAATACATTAGTCAAAAATTTCTTAAGTATGTCATCAGAAGCATAAGTGATTAAAAATTGATGAATTGATCAAAATTTAAACCTTTTCCATTCTAAAGACATCAATACCAATGTGAAAAGGTAAGCCAAGACTAGGACAAAATATTTGTACATCACATATGTAATAAAGGACTTCTATCTAGGATTCATAAAGAACACTTATAAATCTATAAGAAGACAACCCAATTTTGTAAAGGGCAAAAAAGCTGTACACAAATTTTTATAGCAGTTTATTCATAACATCTGAAACCTGAAGACAACACATGCCTTTTAGTGGGTGAATAGCTAAACAAACTGTGGAATATTACACAGCAATAAAAATACACACAATAACTTGGTTGATTCTCAGGATAAGTATGCTGAGTGAAAAAAAATCTAAGCCCCCAAAATTATATATGGTATGATACAATTCACATTATAAGGAGGAGGGTAAGAAGTATTATAAAAATATAACAGAAGAAATCGTTATGGTGATATAATTGTTCTGTATCTTTATGGTAGTGGTCATAAGAACCTGTACCTCTGATAAAATTGCATAAAACTAAATGGACCCACACATAGACACAAATGAGTATATCTATGATGGAAAATCTGAATAAAACAGATGGATTGTATCAATGTCAATTTTGCGGTTGTTAAATCTGTATAACAATAGTTATGTAAGATATTGCTATGGGAGATACTAAGTAAAGTGTAAACAGGATCTCTCTGTATTATTTTTTACAGCTACATATAAATCTACAAGTATCTCAAAAAAAGCTTTATTTAAAAATGGGGTTAAAGATTTGAGTAGACATTTTATCAAAGAAGCTATACAAACAGACAACTAGTACATGAAAAGATGTTCATTGCTAATCATTAGGGAAATGCAAAGTAAAACCACGATGCATATCCATAAGAACAGTTATAATAAAAAAGACAATAACAAGTGCTGGAGAGGATGTGGAAAGAGTTGAGCCCTCCTACATTGCTTGTAAGGATGTAAATTGATAAAGTCACTTTGGAAAAACAGGTTGGCAGTTTCTTAGTAAGTTCTACATCATCTTGGCATATGACTCCGGAATTCCACTCATAGGTTATAGCAGCATTTTCGTAACATCCAAAAGTAGAAGCAACTCAAATGTAATCAACTGGTAAGCTCATAAACAAAATGCAATTTATGCCAACAATGGACTGTTATTCATTAATTAAAAGGAATAAAGTACTGATACACGATACAACATTGATAAACCACAAAAACATTATGCTAATTGAAAGTAGCTTGATACAAAGACCACGTAGTGTATGATCCTATTTATTTAAATGTCCATTAAACAAATCTGTAGAAAAGAAAGTAGATTAATGCTTACCAAGAGTTGCATATGAATAAGGAATGGCTGAAAAATGGGACAGAGATTTCTTTTGGGGATGAAGTAAATGTTCTAGTTTGTAGTGATAGCTGCACAACTCTGTAACTAAAATCAATGAATTGTATGATTTAATAAATAAATAAAATAAAGCTGTCTTTAAAAGGTTGCAATTCTTTTCAGCTGTTTAAGGTTGAAACCCTCTCAGATGGTTAATGATCTCATGCCTCAGGACCCTATTAATTATATGGGAGAAATACCCACATACCCTGCTTAGCAAATTAGGCATAATTTTACATGACCTGCTTTCTTCTCTATCTACTCTTTGATTTACTATTCTTAATGCTAAGGTATCATTTAGAAACCATGGTGTTTCTCGTGTTTACTGACAATGGATAAACAAAACGTATTTTTCTTCAGCTTGCTTAATTCCAAATTCTCCTACAGTTAAGCAAAACAAATTGCCTTTGGAATCACTTATGCCTTTTAATCACAACATATAAGCAAGAAAACAGATGGACATATTTGACCACACTTGTGTATTTAGCCAACTACAGCACTTCCCGGAACCATTTGGTCCTTTTGACATCTGACATCAGGGGCCTCTTTCTATTTTAACAGATTTTCCCCCATCCATTTCCTTCCTTCTCATTCTCCATGGCCATAATTTCTCCACTTTTACCATAGTTCCAATATCTTCCTTGCACTTATTACAAAGTCCACCCCTTACTCCTTTCCCATTCTGTCCTTCAAATAGCCTTTCCTAGCCTAATCTTGAGTGTGAGAAGGAGAAACTACTACTTAAGCAGTGAAATATTTCTCCCTGTAGACACAGACTTAGCGGACTTTTGTGGATATTTGGAAAAGTTTTAAATGTTATTTACGGGTTTTTGTTGTTGTTGTTTGCTTCTTGAAAGAGAAAAATTGTTGCAGAGTATTGTTATACCTGAGCGAGTCAAGGAACGTGCCACACTCTGAGATTGAATTGAGTCCTTTATTGAGCTGGCGACCGAGAGTGACTAACGCCCAAAATTCTCTTGGCCCCGAAGAAAAAGTTAGGTGGTCTTTTATACACTAGTTTTAACAGGAAAGGGGGAACCTAGCTGAAACAAAGTTTTCACAAAGCAAAGTAAGCAAAAGGTAAAAAGAAAAATTTATACATAAGAAATAAAAAGGTGCCAGGTGTGAGGAGTACAGCTGTCATGAAAGACATACAACTTATACATAATGGGGCTCTGGGCGCTCACTGCACCTGCATTTCCAGGCTCGGCTGATACCACTTAACTCAGCCTTTTATCAACAACGGCATTCCTGGGTGCCCAGTGTCAGCCTGACCTTGCTTTATACTATAATTACATGCTTAATGGGGAGAAAGTTACTAAAATGAAAAAGCCAAGATGGAGTCTGTCTGGCTCAAGAAGCTAACATAAAACCTGAACAGCTTTTAGTCTGGGAAAGAGAGAGCTAGTTTTAGCTGGCAAAAAGCAGGGTATCACAGTATTAATTTTGATCTTAAGTCTGACACATTTATTAACACCCCAAAAAAGCGAAGATATATATGTCTTGCCAGACGGCTACTACAAAATATTTTAAGGTTCCATCTTCTATAATTCCTGCATAGTAGAGTTATCTAAACTACAAAAAGTTGTAATTTGTTGCTTATTAGTGTTATGACTTATTTTTAAAGTTCCCTAAATAATCCAACATTTGAATAAAATGGACACCTTTTCATTTTAATAACATATACTCCTTGATAATAATGGTTTGATTCATTTTTCTTACAGAACTAATTTCTTCCTACTTCATACACATTAAATATTTATGCTGCTAATGTCATGCTCATCCTAAATTAAAATTTGACTATGTCTGTTTCCCCAAAGACACCATCTGATTGGGATGCAGCTGTAGTGTAGCAGAAAGAGCAGTGAAGCTGGTATTAGAGTGCTTGGATCATAGTGTTTGTTCTGTTACTTAGCAGCCGTGTGATGTTACTGTCTTAATGATATGGATTTCTGTGCTGCTGCCAAGTATGAACGAGTTTGGCACACTGTTTAGAAATGCAAACTATGTGATCTCCACAACATTTTACTGAGTGTAAAGAAGATAGGATAGACTATTTAAACTGGAAAATTTTGGACAAAATGTCACTGTAGACCTGAATATATTACCTAAACTTCCTGAGACTCACTTTTGACATGTGATAAAATAGATATAATGATACCTACCTCACGAGGTTAAGGGTTAACTGAAATATTGTGTGTGAGAGTCTAGTTCAGTGTCTGGAAAATGGATGATGTTAATTAAGGTTTCCTTAGGTTGGAAGCCTCCTTTCACCCCCTCCACCTGCCCTCTCCCCCAAAAAACTCTCCAAAATTCAAACATGCATATTCTGATTCATCTTTTAAGAAAGGGCCCAAAAGGCACCACTCTACAAAATCTTTCCAAACAACTTCAGGCAGTATAGCCCTTTGGTTAGGAGTACTGGGCTTATGGAATCAGAAGAGACCACCAAATTTAAAACCATGTCTGCCATTTAGAAGCTCCCTGACACTGGACAAATTATTTTCTCTGCATCTAGGTTTCTCATCAGTAAAATAAAATCATCATGGTACACATGGTACATACCTTAGAGGGTTGTGGAGGATTAAATGAGATATACATATAGAGCACTTAGCACAGCCCCTGACTTATTAAGTTCTCCGTTAAGTATAACATAGAAGTAGTAAAAGTTTCCTCTTTAGTAAAATGCTAATAAAAGTGCTTACTCTGCCTCCCAAGATTGTGGCAAAGTTATGACGCAAGGCTTTTAAACTGTAATGCTGAACAAACGTAAGGGATTGATATATACCTTGAGATATTTTGGACAAAGTTCTAACCTTACTTTTATAAAATATGCTTTCCCTCACCCGCCTGCAGTCGGGTTAATAATGCCCAGCATTAATTAATAGGAAATAAAATCAAAAGATACGTCCCCGAATACACGTAGCTGACGATCGGAGACCAGCACCCGCAGACCTGACCTGGATAATTCCCTGGAGTTCACCTCTAGCGGCCCCCTCCCCTTGGAGCCGCGCAAGCGTACACTGACTTTGCTCCTCTCTAGTGCCCCCGCCTCCAACAGCCGCCCCCCCAACCCTCCGTCTGCTCAACACGCAGGCGCGTCTCCTCAAATCCGGTCCGTACACCCTTCCTCTTTCTCTTCATTTCGTTCCCCCTCCTCTTGCAGCAACTAAGCAGGTTCAAACTCTTCTCCAGGAGAGTGGCGGCGATCGCGAGGTCACGTGATGAGCATCCTGCTGCCCAACATGGCGGAGTTCGACACCATCTCGGAACTGGGAGAGGAGGAAGAAGAAGCGGCAACGTCGTCGTCGTCGCCGTCGTCGTCGTCGTCGGTATCTGGGCCCGACGATGACGAGGACGATGAGGAGGAAGAGGAGGAGGAAGAAGAAGAGGAGGAGGAAGAAGAGGAGGAAGAGGAAGAGGAGGCGCCGCCCCCGCCTCGGGTTGTGAGCGAGGAGCATCTGCGGAGATATGCTCCGGACCCTGTATTAGTGCGGGGAGCCGGCCACATCACTGTGTAAGCGACAGGGGGTCTTGGGTCTTGAAAACCCTGAGATTTGGCAACAGAGGAATGAGAGGTGATCGAGGGGCGTCTGGAGTGGGGGAGGGTTGACCGAGGCGTACAGTTAGGAAAGGACACCTGGTCTAAATGAGGAAACCATGGGTGGATACGTGTGAAGGAAGTGAGGAGAATGTACCTATGATGCGCCAATGCCAGGTAAAGTGTGAATATAGGAGAAAGGAGTTAGGGATTGGGAGCCAGAGTGATTGAAGTAGGGGTGAGTCTCCTTTCTTGTATGTATGCTGGCAAGTGAACAGTCCCTAAACTGCAGGATGTACCAGAGGGATTTTTGCTGACAAGATTGATATTTAGTGGGAAACGGCGATTGCTGTAACATGTAACAAGAACTAGGCTTGCATTCTTCAAACATTATGTATTTTGTGAATAATAATAGAATATCCATGAATAGTAATATTGATTCATTTTTTCCTATCTAATCCTTCCTTATATATCAGTCGATTAGAGGTTGAGGTTGAGAGGCAGCTATGGAAAGTAGAAAGAGCAATGGATTGAGTCAGGGCTCTTAGATGCTAGTTCCAGTTTTGCTTCTTACTGGCCCTGTGACCTTGGTCAGGTTGCTTTTTCTCGTTTCTGCACCTTGATTTCTTCATCATTAAATGAAGAAACCATCATTTGGAGTAGATGGTTTCTAAAGCTTTTCAGTTATGAGATAATGTACCTCCAAGGGATTTTGTATGCCCAAATACGAAATATACAGGCATCAAACGTATATGGAAATTAGTTCTTTGGGAGCTGAGGATGATTTCTTGAAAATTTATCCAGGGTGGTTTTTTTAAAAAATTGAAATCCTGAGAAAAAAAATTGAATATTTGAGAAAATAAAATGGGGAGGGACTTCATAACATACCTACAAAGCAAAAATGCAGATGTTTCCCTGGGCTGTAAAGAGTGCTTCCTCATTTTTATTTGCTTGGACCATAACTATTTGGAAGTTTGCATATTGTGTCATGTTCATCCTCTTTGCTATGTTTTACTGCGTTTTCAAAATAGATTGTTGTTTGTTATTATGTCATGCTTCCTCTGATTTTGATAATGGCTAACGCCCCTTTGACTTTCAGTTGAGTTCATGTTATATTAAATCGTATATGTACGACCTCCCTTATCATATAAGCTTTAATTTTTAACATACTGATTATTATTTTTTTTTTTTTGAGATGGACTCTCGATCTGTAGCCCAGGCTGGAGTGCAGTGGCGAGATCTTGGCTCACTGCAATCTCTGCCTCCCAGGTTCAAGAGATTCTCCTGCCTCAGGCTCCCGAGTAGCTGGGACTACAGGCTGGCCATGTTGAGTATTTTACTTGTGATATACTTTTGTCATCTTTGCATCAAATATATTAAGAAATATTTTGAAATTGTGGAAGGATGTGGGGAGGGGTTTAGAACTGCTTTTTGATTACGAAATTTAAAGACAATTTTTTTCGGTCCAAGAATTTTGCAGATAGCCTACACTGTGATGCCAGCTTACTGCACTGTTTTACTTCCATTTTTTTTGTCACCAGGGAGACAATTTATTACTCAAACTAATTATGATTCTGGTACCAAAGGTTACTTTTATGCAGATTGTGTTAAATGACCCTTTAGTCCATAATTTTATACTCCAACATTCTACCTTCACATTGTTTTGCAAAATTCAGGCAAAGGAGAAGGACCAAGAAAATCATATTTAATTACCTGAAATTTATTTGTGGTTCCATTCTACCCTGCACACAACCATGGTGAAATACTTACCAACCTGTTTTCTTCATTAGAAGAAGAACACTGACACTTGCCATGCCCAGGCCTTTGTGATTGGTATAATGTCCTTCTCAGCTTAAACTTTTGTAATTAGGAGAGTGTGGGTGGTACTGTTGGTATTTATTGACTGAAACCAAAACCTAAAAAGCAGCAAACCAGTACTGGAATCACTAACCAATGTATGTACTTTGGAAACTTAGTTTTATTGTACACGTTCTCACACCTAGAAATCACATATGACATTAAATGTCTTGAGATTTGAAAGAGATTACATGTCTAGGAGAAAATTTTACTGGATCTGAGCAATGAATCTTTCTGTGGTAGTAAAGCCTTCCTTATATCAGGTACAGTAAAATCCTTATGAAATAGGTAATCTTATTCCGAGACTTCTAAAATCTTATTCTGAGACTTCTAAAATATCAGCTTCTGTTTATTTTTTTTTTCTGGTGTAGGAGTGTTAGAGATGCCCTAAATTATATACCCTATCTGAAAGAAATGTTTAATATCCTCTCCCAGCCCTGATTTTTTTTTCCATTCTTTGTACAGTCTTCTATTGTATGGAGCATTTTGTTTCTTCTCAAAGTTTAAAATTTGAGAGCCCTCACCTCAAACTCAGTATATTTTAAGCCCAACATCCCTCTCCACATTGCCTGTGCTTTCCATTTGTTTCATTTCTTTCCTTGATGCCACCATTCTAATCTCCCAGAGTAGCATTTAAAATCTTTGAGTCATTTTGACTCTTCCTTCTCCTTGAATTGCCCTGTGTCAGTCTGCCCCAGAATTATGTCATCATAGTTTCTGAAATATCTCTTAGATTTTTCATTTTCTCATTCCTATTTGGCACCACTCTAGTTTGGGTTGCCATCATCTCCTGCTTGAATCATTGCCACAATCTGCTGCCTCTCCCTACTCCAGTCCATCCTGTGTGCTTGTGCCAAACTGATTTTCTTAAAACACAGCTTAATCATGTCACTTTCCTGCTGAAAATCTGCATTGGATCTTAATTAGCTCTGAGTTTCTATGCCATCTTCCTTCAGTCGGAGTTCAAGGAGACCCTCCATTTGTCCAATGGTCACCTACCTGTCCACTTGTGCCTTCCATTCCCTTCTCTTCCAGCCTCCTCCCAGGTCTTGCTCCACCAGGCCACCCATCTCTCCAGTATTACCTCTCTACTGGCTCAGCCTGTAACCATATTCAGTCTCTAATGTTTTAAAAAATAAAATAAGACAAAAGCCTTCCTATGCCTGTGTTCCCTTTAGCTACTATCCAATTTCTCTTTCTTAGCCTTTCAATTTCTAAAAAGTAGCTACATTCACCATATCCATTTTCTCTTTACCCGTCTCTGATCTGGATTCTGCTAACAAAACCACAAAGGAGCTATCATTAGTTAATATCACTGTGACCCTCTTGTTGCTAAATTAGTGAACATCTTTCATTCCCTATCCTTCAGGTTCTGTCTGCTGCATTTGACACTTATGATGATTTCTTCTTTTTTAGAAGCTTCTACTCCAGGACTCAAACACAGACCTTCAGAGGCAAGGCAGGTCACAAAAACTACTGCAGTGTAGGGAGAGATGGGGGTTTAGTTGAACTGAAAGGTGTATATCCCAACTAATGGTATTCAAATTCTAATTAAGAAAAAAACATTTTGCTAGCCATAAAAAACACAGAACTCCTTGGCCACTTCACTCTCCTGGTGTTCCTTTTATTTTTCTGGCAGTTTCTTAACTGTTCATTCATGGGCTTCCCTTCCTCTCTTGACCCTTATTTAAGGGTCAAGCAATCTCTAGAGTTTTGTTCTCAGCCTACTACTCTTCTTATTCCCTACTCTCCCTAGATGGCTTCATCTTACCTCTCATAGATTCAGTTATCGTATGGCTCCCAAATAGGGATTTCTTTACCAGACTCTGCTTGGGCTCTTACCCGGGCTTCTTCACTCAATAGCCTACTGTTACCTTAAATTTTACATAAACAAAACATCCCCCTTACACCCCCCTCATACCCCCACCCCCAAATGCTCCAAAAAGCCCTCCTATTTCTGTATTCACAACCTCAGTTGAATGTACCTCCACCTATCCCATTAAAGCATGCTTGGTTCTCCTCAGTCACACTTCCCACTGCTAAGCAATTAGCAAATATCAACAATATATGGCTTAAGAATTTCTTCTTTTCCTCCCTACCACCACTTCATTGATTCAAGACCCTTTCATTACCGTAACTAGTTATCTTGACTTCATCCTCACATCTATCCTCCAGCCTGCTGCTAGATTAATACACAAAAAGTACAGATCTAATCAAACCACTTTTCCTGCTTAAGATTATCTTGTGGTTTTTCCCTTCACCTGCTAGATAAGAGTCTAAGCTCCATAACAGAGCATACAGAACTGTGCATCTATCAGCCTAAACTTTTACCACTTCCCTTACTGCTTGTATATTCCTGTTCACAGAATGCTGGGTTTTTAAAATCTCATTGCCTCTGCTCAATCTGGGGCCTCCACCTAAAATGCTAATATTCACCTCCTGTTTCCCTGGCTCCAGTTTCCCTGGCTCTCTGTATGTCACCACCTTCTTCTGCAAATCTTCTTTGCCCCCACTAAATTGTAATTTGCAATGACAAGAACAATTTCTGATTCCCTCTGAATCCTCAGTGCACAGCACAGTGCCTGACATGAAGTGAGTTGAATGAATATTGGTTCACTTTAGTAACACTCAGTATGCCCACATAGTACAAACTATACTAGAAGCCCTCAACAAATATGTTAGTTGTATCATGCTGTGGAGAGCACTTGTTTTTGAACATAGATGTATATGAATACAACAGTATCATCAGTACCAGTATCACCAGTGATGGCGTTTATGGCATGAGCTTACCTCTGAAAGCTTTGTTAAGCTAGCCCCTATGTGTCAGAGTATGCTTGTCTACTGGTATTATCTTAATGTTTTGGGTTTCTAGTTACTTTAACAAGATACTAGTCTTTTAACATGAAATCATTATAATTTCTTAAGAAGTAGAATGACCTAATCATACTACTTGTATTTCCAATTCTGAGATGATGGTTATAAATGGATATCAGGAGATTTTTTTCCGAATTTTCAAAAATATGGTTAAATTAACTTACAGATTTGAGATTATAGAAACAGAAATAATGTCACTTGGGAGTATTGTGCTTCAAAAATACTATACATCTGAATAATACAACAGTTTCACATTTTGTCTTTTTTTTTAGGATAAATATTTGGATCTAATGTATTGAAATACAGAAAAAATATTATATCACATGAGGTTTTTCCTTATAGACCACCCTCTTTATATTACTTAAAATATATAGATATTTATCATTGATATTACACCTGCATAAAAATTAGTAGAGACAACATATTACTAATTCTCAGAGGCTCATAAAATTCTCATTAAAATTAATCTAAGAAAGCTGAAGTTATTAGATTATAGAATTGAAAAAGATGGCTAATTTTACCAAACAGTACATTTCTCCAAAAACTTAGCACAACAAATATTAATACTTCTCAAATCAGGGAATGGAATGCCTTTTCTGTAACAGTTGTCTGAGAAATTACAGTGATGCATTGTTAATTTGTTTTTATATAAGATGATTTTTTTTTTAAGGTTTTAGGATTTGGAAATATTGAAGCCATGGTAACTTGCCATTATATAGTGTGGTAAGACACTTTTTCCATATGAAATATTAAAGAAATTCAACTAGAATCTTTAAAAGATATCTTTTTATTTTATGGCATAGCCATTTACTTGGTGTAGCAAATACAGTTCAGTGCACATGCTTCAGAATCAGTATTACTACAAGTGCATAGTTTTCTAGTGAAGTCGTGTCTTGTTGGCGGAATTTTACTACATTTTCTCAAACAAACAGAGTACATGAACTTTAATTTGTGCAAGATTTTGAAAGGCTGGTATATAGCCATTTTCAAAAATGAAAAATGATGAGAGGTATAGGGAGGGAGAGAAAAGGGAAGAACAGCTAAGAGTATATATCGTTTGCCTCGGTTTCCTTCAGAGAATTTGTCTAAGAAATTAAAAATTTTGGCATTGACAACACTTGACGCAGAAAATGCAATCATTGAGAACTACCAGCTGAGTCAGATTCAAACATACAATAGATTCTATAGTGAATGAAGTTGATAAAATGATAGTGTGAGCACTTCTCAAGTGTCTGTTTAGCCCCGCATCTTGGCTAATTTCTATCACTGATCAGTAATAAGTAGATGAGTTTGTCTACCCTCTCTGGACTCATAATTCTTAATGGTTTGTTTATGAAACCTAACTGAAGTGTTTATTCAGCAGCAGCCACTTCAACATTTTCCTAGTAGCTACTAAGTGAAATGTACCTAAGTTTAAGTATATTTTTTTTAGTGTGCTGAGTCTATAAAGGGGAAAGTTAAGGAAAAAAAGTATCTTATAGGCAAGAACAAGATTGCTCCTGCCTGTTAGCCAAAACTATGAAAGTATGAAGCCTACTTTGCCTTTCTTCATACTTTTTTATATGTATATATGTAGTTCATAAGGGAGTATTTTAAGAAGTAAAGCAACAATTTAGTTACCATTTCTAATGTACTTTTTATATTTTAGAAAAGGAAATCCCTTTATATATTTGAGAAGAAAGTAATGTGAATATAGCAAGTATTTCTCTAGAACTTGAGCACTGGGCTAAACACTGTGAAGAACATAGAGAAAATAGAGTATAGGCTTTGCTTTACAAAGCTAACAGGAAAATTGCCTTTAAGATATTGATATGGAGCAGCAAGGAAAAAAGACAACATTTTGTTAACTGTTGAAATATATAGTACACATTAAAAGTGGCCATGAGTATTCAGAGAAAGAAGGAATCCACGAAGGCTTGGGCATTCAAGGTATTACAGCAGGGATTGGAACTTGACTTGAGCCTTAAAGGCTGTCTAGGACTTGGACTTCAGAGGGGAAGCAAGGGGAACCACATGAGCAAGGACAAGAGCCAACGTAGCAGTGACAACGGGAAGGAAGAAATCATTATGAGAATAATTTGAAAGGAGCAAATAACAGGATTTAGAGACCACCTGGCTGTAAGCAAGATGCAAAACATAGGAGAGGGAGGGTGCGAATATGATATCAAGGTATATAGGTTAAAGGAAGAGACTGAATTTGAAAGGGGGAACCAGGTTCCAAGAAAATGTAACATTTAATTTTAGACAAGTTTCACTTAAGGTGGTATTATTTTGTAGTGAAATGTCCAAAAAGAAAATTCCAGTATACTATTAAAGATGAGGGATCAGAGCATATATGAAAAGATATCACTAGAGATATAGATTTGATGATCATTAGAAGAGAAATGATTGTCAAAGCTGTCAAATACAGATGAACTGTTATACTTTGCTTAGAAAGAAAAGCAGAAGACTAAATGCTAAATTTTGGAAGAAGTATAGAGTCTGAGGGCAGAATGAAAGAATGGGAGTGTTATTTTCACATACTTTGCAATTGAGACCAGAAAGACTTGTAGGTCTTTCTGCAGAGTGAGCGGGTCCTACAGAGTGAGTGAGAAACTTACTGCTAGATCAGAAATGTTTGCCTCTTGGAGTAAAAGTGTTTCTTTGAGATGAGTTGTAGAGGAGGCACCTTTTATTCAACTTTTCTTTGTTTCTAAACTGTGTTTCCCATATTGTTTTAGGCACCTTTTATTCAACTTTTCTTTGTTTCTAAACTGTGTTTCCCATATTATTTTCAGCCTTTTGCTTATAATTAGAAATTGTGAGAAGCTTCATTTAGTGTTTAAAAATGTGGGGAGATAAATCAGACTTAATATGTATGTAAGATAAATTCACTTAAAAGTATGGGCCAAATAGCAAAACTAGGACCAGATGAAACATGTAGTCATTTTTTAAAAACATGTACTTGGTCTCTTGTGTGTGTCTGTTTTATTCCATTAGAATAAATGTGTCCTTCATGCAAATGCAAAGCATTTCTTCCTGATTAAATTGTAGATGTAGACTTTAAAAAAAGAAGAATGGTAGTGTTAGGAAGGGAATGGTCAACAGGGTCACAGCTGCAAACAAAGTCAAGAGAAAAAGTTCTGCGAAGACGTTGAATTTGGCAATAAATAAGACAAGATGAACTTGTCACTGTGTAAATTTACTGAATAAGAGATTGTCAGCAAAATGACAGTATCAAAAATCAAGTTTCAAAATTTCTTAAGAAAGGAAATATTAGGGAAATGGAAGCAGTGAACAGTTCTTTTGTCTGGTGATAAGTGAAAAGAGGGAATAGCAAAGCTAAGAATTTTTAAAACAATAAAAATATTCTATACATTTTGTAGGATATATCTGTCTGTATTGACTGCATATTTGATATCTAGTAAGGGAATGACAGCTGGGAAAAGCTAAATTAGCAGCAATTGCTAATCAAGGTAGGAACATGTTATCGATGTTGCATCTAAAAGGCATTTAGACAAAATGTGGAAATAGAAGTCTACTTAAAATGTATCATATCTACTTTCTAAAAATGAAAACTCCATCTATATTTTTGTACAATAAGAATTTACTCTGTGTAATAATGAATTGCATCTTGTCACAAAATAAAATTACTACTTAACTAGCTAAATAGATTTAAATGAAATGTTTCTTACACTATTAAATATTTGTTATTGATTGCTGTTAGCAAATCATTACAAATGTTTAATACTAGAATGTCAATTTCTCAAGCAGCAGATGAAGATTGCTATAAAAATTTATGCATAATGGTGTCCCATCTTGTTTTCAGTTAACTATACTCTTGTGTCTGTGTATTGACTTAAAGGGAACATGTATTTGCATATTATATTTTCATTATTTGTTGTACTGATACCTGAACAGAATTAATGAAGGATTTTTTTAATGTAGTTAAGATCTTTTTCCAATAGCTAATTAATTTACTCGACTATTTTAAAATACAGAATTTGTTTTTTGGATTTTTTTTTTTTTTTT